TACAAGCGTGCTTGGATACGTACACAATGTATCAGGGCATCAAAACAAATCATGTCAACATTGGTATTTGCTTGATTACTTCTTTTTAACGGCGATCTCGGTTTTCTATCATTATTTGGCCATTTTGTGAAAATCGCCATACTCTTTGCTACACTTTTATTAAATCAAACTGTCTGTTTTTCTTATTTTCTCCTCTTGTGCCTTTCTCTATAGAAAAAAAATACCGTCTTTTGGCTTATTGGTTTCTCTCTGTGTCATTTCGATTAAATACCGAGAATTTCAAATACTTTTCCGGTTATTTTTTTCAATTTCAGCGTTTCACATTGGCATCACAAAGAAACACTCACATTAAATTCAAAATTCATGTGACAATCTTCGAACTGAAAACAATTTATGTTTCATGATTATCGTTTTGTGTACAAAAAAATACTGTCCATCAAAAGATACGTGGCATTGGATTCTTCCGTAAAATGAATGATTGAAAAGTGTTTGTGTGTGCGTCAACAGAGATTCAACCAGTGGTGTGTTTGGTATGGACTTTTGGCAAATCAACAGAAGCTTGTTCAACCATGAATACGGTTGGAAACATAGCCATTTTGCAGCTATTTTTCGGTGTTGTTTTTCGTACACACAACGTCTACCAAATGAATATTATTAATGCAACGAAAATAAATGGGTATTTATTTTTTTAACGAAGCAAAATTGATTGCCACAAATGTTTCATGTGCGTGAGATGCGGTGTGTTGTATCAATCACAATCATGAATATTTTATCAATCGTGGCATATACATAGACACAGAGAAAAAGTTAACACACACAAATAAACCAATTGTACACCGAACGACAGAATATATGAAGCGATTACTAAGCATTTTCATAAAAGCATTTTTTTTCCTCTGAATAAGGACAGTTTACAGTTTTTTTTAAAGCAATATCACACGACGCTTTTACAATTTGCTCAAATGAAATTCAAAACATGTCAACGAATAACAAAGGCCCATCAGTGAGCTTATAGTTTTGTAAATATATACGAAAAGTGTTGTTATAAAACGATTTGGTGCGGAAAATGGATGATTCACAAAAAAGCGATGATGCCAGTGATGCATTTAAGGATTATTTAACTAATAGATACGAAATCGATAGATTTTTTCAAAATTGATTTCGCTCCTCATGAGCGCTATAAATATAATATGCTTTTATGCAAATTCATGAAATAAGAATACGGTGTACTCGTGAACGATCCGAGTATCACTTGCGTTGTATATTGACAATGTATTTGAACGCGACTCGATTTAAGAAGCGCCATCTCTTTCACGCCAGGTTCTAATATATTTTTTTCTTGCAAATAAAATTGCAAAATTGTATAAATTGAATAAGTTTTGCAATAATAATAACGAAAATAATTAATAGAATTTATAATAAATAAAAAAAATTGAAAAAAACACACAAATATTTTATATTATATGATATGTAGCTTTGCCTTGTAGACTTTGCCTTGTAGACCATGTAGAGATGGTTACGTGGAGAAAATATGTAATTGTCAAACATTGATATCTGTCAAAAGAAACAACGTAAACAACACGAAGTGAAGCTATTCTGGTGAATCATATAATATAAAATATTTGTGTGTTTTTTCAATTTTTTTATTTATTATAAATTCTATTAATTATTTTCGTTATTATTATTGCAAAACTTATTCAATTTATACAATTTTGCAAGAAAAAGATATATGAGAACCTGGCGTGAAAGAGATGGCGCTTCTTAAATCGAGTCGCGTTGAAAGCCGACTGTAAGTGATACTCGGAACGATCGCAAATTAATGCAAAACAATACGACAGTACATGGCGTTACAGTCGCATCAAAGATTGTATATCATCAAAAGCTTTCTGTTATTAGAATACACTACTGAGCAAAACGGTACTGAGCAAAATGGAATCATTTCAGGCTAGTTTTTCAATATTATACTAAAAGATGCAACAAAATATTTCAAGGAAACCGAACAGAAGGATGATGGAAGTAAGATCCAATTTTCATGTTTTTTTTTCCTTAATCAAATTTCCTTTTCATTCGATTCGATTCGACTTTACTTCTGTCACATAAAAATGTTTAAAATATTAAAAAAAAAAATCTGCTCATTTTGAGATAGTAAACAATTTTTTATCATTGTATGGTAGAACATTTCTGTCACAAATAAAATACATTTTTTTAATCCAAAACAAACAAAAAGCGGGGGCTAAATATTGGGAATGTGTATGCGTGTCTGTGGAAATGATTAGCAAATATTTGATATTGGATATGATTGTGGTCAGTGTGTGAAAGAGATATATGAATATTGCAAATACATAGTAAAAACTGAAATGGGAAATCTGGTTTTCCATCCTTTTGTTTCGACATGTTTCGTTGTATTTCGTTTTTGTGGTCAACATATGCCATATTTTACTAATGATACCCATTTAGCTCTGTATCGCATCGAAAACTTGAACAAGAGACTGAGAACGGTGTATGGAAAAGTCATAATGTCAACAACATTCATGGGATAAAAATAAATGTACGAAAAATGTATGTCATCTCTTATTCACCGTTATAAAATTAAATCCAAAGTTAAAGTGAAATTGGTAAAAAATGGAGATGGAAAACCGTGTAAATTAAATCTTTCTCTTGCTTTCGTTAGTTTGTTGATTTTTCAAATATGTGTGTCGACAGCGACAGATTTTGTCAAGCATATTTTTGCATGCGTATGATTGATTCAATGCTTACAAGCAAAGTCATATTTACCAAGGAATAGCAAACATAGAGCGAGAGAACAGAAGAAGAAAAAAAAAACATGAAAGCCAACGGCTGAATCCATCTTTGAATCGTTGCGGTAAAAAATAGCCCCTATTTTTTCTCCAAATAATACTTGAACATAAAAATGGCTTCAAAAAATATCTAAATAATCCAAGTAACATAACCGTTGCAAGTTTTTCTTGTTCTGATACTTTTTTTGAGGTCATTTGTATATGCCAATTTGGAACTAGTTTTTCGCCTCAATGATTCATTCAATGGTCGTTTTTTCGACTTGTTTTTGGGGATGGATTTAAGTGGGGTTTTTATATCCGATAGTGTCATTGCATTGAACCGGGTGAAAATAACGATACGTAAACATGCCGATCCAAAAGTAAATGTTCCAATATAAAAAGCATTTCGGATGTGAACAAAAAAAACAACTATACGATGAAAAACGAATGTAAAAACATCTTCAAACTACCACAGATGCCACCACAGAAGCATACGGTCCACATATTTGAAATATATATGTTTTGATTGGTCAAATTATATGTTAGTTGCCGAGAATTACCACATAACGGCAATTATTTGAAGTGAAGATTCCGCCACTTAGCAAATATGAAAATGAATCGCTCGATGTCATTTCGGCACACTGGCAGAACGAGATACAGGGAGAGAAGAAATTGACATTATATGCGCGATTTTAATATTGTTCTATTTTCTCAAATTGATGATTAAAAGCCAATGATGTGATGAAAATCATTTCCGTCAAAGCACATATTCATTGTTTGTGAATGTAGCTCATCCAGTAAAACTTGATGAGGAAATATTTAGCGAAATTATGTCACTGTAATTTTAAATACCATGCACATTTACATTTACTGGTGGCAGCAATAGCAACAGACGCGATGATGTGCAAGGAGCAGCAGCTCGACAGCACCATCCAAACGAAGTAATAACAATAATAAAATAAAAATTGAGGTAACACACGGAAAAATCCAATAAAACGCTTCGAAATTGGCTCATTTCCAGAAGCAGGTAACAAACCAAACAACGAACTTTTGCGTCAAATGCAACACATTAACACAGAGTAGTTTTACTAACGACATCCGTTCGCTCAATGTTTTCACAACCCATTTTCATTGTGCTTTTAAACACAATGACTTTTATTTCAGTTGTTTGGTCAGTGGGTTTCATTTTGCCTCCTGGTTTTTTTCTATCATCGCAAAGAAAAACTCGTAAAAATTGTACGGAAAAATCCCGATTGAAATAATTCGTTTGTTTTTAATAAAAAAAAAACAACAACGACCGACGTACAATGTTTTTAAGAGGATTCATGGTTGAAAGCCCATTTTCAAATTACATTTTAAAAAAAAGTTGTTCCGTCGAAAAAAGTACTCATTGCACAAGAATGTCACAATTCATTGCAAATTTTCCACCTCTTGAATCATGTCAGTGCACAAGAAAAGACATCAAATTACCAACTCACTTACACAATTATCAAAATGTATCTACTATATTACCCTTTATTTCGCCACTTGACAGCAACAATTTTCCATTTATCGCACTTTCTCTTCATCTCATACTCTCACACTTGTATTTTCATAAAATTATCTCTGTCACGCAAATTCATTTCAACTACAAACTGAATGATTTGGATGTGGGCTCGTCACCAACGTTACAGCATAATCGAAGCAATTTTTTGATGAATACATTTGAAAGAGGCCAGACATAGTCTGAATATTTAACACACATATTTTTACATGCATATCTCAAGATATGCCATTCATGTCTTGGCTTATTTATTTATTTATTCGCATTCGGCGTGGCATGTGTGTGTGCGTGTTGTCAAGCTGTTGCTTTCCAAACATTTATTTAAATATGTATGTGTTCGATATTTTTCCGCTATAAAATGTGTTTATCAAGAGATAAAATAATTCATTTCACTTCTCTGTGCTCTTTATCTTTTTTGCCTCCATAAAAATGTATCTTGTGGATTCGCCTTATTGTGAATGTGATAAAAGCGACAACTAAATAAATCGATACATAGCAATAACAAAAAGAAAAATCCAATCAAATGAAATATTCATGTGACCACTATGCTTGGTTAAATTCAATAGAATGAAGACCTATATATCTATGGTTATGTTATCACATTCGATGTCTTCACAGATTCAAAAAAATCAAATATTCTTAGTTTCCATCTCCATCCATATACATCCAATTTTACTTACCTATTTTTATTTAAATATTCGTCTGGCCTTTTTTATCACACAAAGTGCATTTTCTCGTTTTGCCTATTCAAGGACGATCACAATCTGGAATAAAAAAAAAGGATAAATGAATTATTAAATAGGCATTTTACAGTGAAAACATATTAACTATGAAACGGCTTCTTTTGTTAATGTTTAATTCATCCAAAACTCCATCTTTTAGAATAATAAATTATTGTCGCAAAATCATATTTAATCATAAATTTTCATTAACATGTCAGTTTGAAATTAAACTCATTTTGCATGGATTCATTATGATTATTTTGTCAATGCGGTAAAGTGACCTTTTTCTGTGATCCATGACACAAAGTCAGTCTACCAGTTGCTTTTGAGCTAGATTTAATTTGATCGAAATGATAATTAAAATTAATGACTTTAAAGGCGGTATACCGGCCAAACTCGGCGTAAAGTGAAACTTTGTCGAAATATATTTTAAATTCTAACATTATTGACGTCAACCGATGCCCCGTTATAATTTTCAATGTTATGGATTCAGTTCAATTGAAATTTGTCGATTAGGTTAGACTTAAAAAATAAATAAAAAAATTACACCTAAACTTTTCCGTAAATTGGAAACAAATGTTAATAGGTTCCTTCCATTCTTTTTTCAAAAAAAAAAAAAAAAAAAAAAAAAAATACGTTGTCGATTTTTTGCGATCGCCTCAGTATAAAAACCAATTCTATTCTAAAGATAATAGTGGAATATAACAAAATATATTTCTGAACAACCAGATGATGATAATTAATGCCTTAATACGTTTCACGCATACACTGAGAAAGCGAACACATCAAACTATTTATAGAATTCTATGATGCGTGCATTTTTGTATTTACGAATGCCATTCAACTGAACAAATTGCACACTTAACTACTGCAATACAAGCAAACACCATACCAATTTTCAACCAGTTTGAACTATCCAAATGCCAATTGCTGTTTTAAGTGTTTTTGTGTACTTGAATGTTTGTATTTACAACGCGTTTTCGTGCGCAACAGTTATATATTTTCCGAAACTGAATAACAAAAAAGAACTTGTCTCGCGTCTAGACTATCAAACTATACGACTGTCAAATGGAGCAAAAATAGGAACAAATCGAATAAAACATCGACAACAAGCAGAAAAAACATATTTAAAATAATAACTCTTTCGGTCGCTTTTTCATTCTCAATCCACCTCAAAACACAAGTGTCACACTGTTTATTCGAGTTGTAAACGAAAACAAAAAGAACTGAACTCACTTGAAAAACGAACAACAGAATGTGAACAATCGAAATAAAATCAAGCGTAAACAGAATGAGCGGGAGTGAGAGAGGTGAATAGACACACGGATTTGTCACATAACTACGAAACATCGTGTCGTGGTGCGTGTATACGACATCTCTTAAACGTATTTTTAATATTGCGGTGCCATTTGGCAATTCGTAAACATCATTTAATGCGATAGTATTTATATAAAGATGGGAACACAAAGAAAAGGGAGATATGTAGATAGGTAGAGAGTGAGAGAGAGAGAGAGAGAGAGAGAGAGAGAGAAAGAGGGAAATTGAATGGGATGGCAACCGCGCAAAGATCAGACATGAATGCTATTTGATGGCAACAAATCTTTCAGAAAATTAGGCACAATCATAAATCGATTTCGTTCCACATTTCATGTATAATTTCAATTTTATAATTGTGATTTTGAAACAAACAAATTCGATGAAAAAGGACGATGTCTTTGTTGAACGTTTATTGAAAATGTTCACTCACGATTTTCCACACAAACAGCAAATTTTCGACGATTTTTTGTACTTTATTTGTCAATAGCAAGACTTATTTGATATTTCGATCCACTAATAAATTGAAATTTGTTGTGAAAATGAAAAGTCATATGAAATCATCTGATTGCACAGTGTGTATGATTCTAATAAATTAATATGCACTCAAATTCAATGAATTATTCATGAATCCGAAGATGAATCGGTAAATTCGTTCAAACGTACACACAAGATCTTCTCGAAGTGTTGGATAAAAGTAGCCCGGTATTGAGTATCTTCGCTTTTCATGACTTTAAAATTTAAAATGAATGGCAATGCGTGAGTTATAACAAAGTTGCTATTAATTATATTTCAAAGCTGCTGTCATTTCAGACGGTTTCATTTTCTTGAGTATATGATGTCGCTGTTTGAATGGGTTAGAATAAAAAAATCGACTTCAAATAAATTTGAGCACATTTCGTATGGAATTTCCTACAGACTCAAAATACAAGTCGAGTTTTTATTCACACCCATTCGTCTCTCTCTCTCTCTCTCTCTCTCTCTCTCTCTCTCTCTTGAATATCTTTGTTACTTTTACGCTTTCGTTTTTCTTCTTCTTCTTCATTTTGGTTTGCCAATGAGCAAGCAGTTATTGAAATGAGTTTTCGTATAATTTGTTTCTCTTCAAACAAAATTGGATTCTTGGCTATACAAATACTCAGTTTCAGCAACTGTTCGTTATTTATTGCAAGAGAGTGAAATTCAGTTCCCTTTATCATCTCGACATGTCATGCGGCCAACCCAAAGATGTGAACTTTTTCTATTGCATCAGTTTCAATATACAATTTTCTGGTGCTAATAGTTTTGTGTGTTCGTTGCACAGTTCTTGTGTTACTTTGCTTGCCGGTTGAACATTTGACTGGCTGGTGACTGGTACACTTTTTGCATCTTAGAAGAAAAACGGTCGATGCCGAGATGCTGCAATTAAAAGCAAGAACGAAAAACTTTCAAACGTATAAGTAATGTTGTTGTTCTATTCGGCATTGCAATTGTACGCATTTCCTTGAGTAGATCCATCGGAATCTTCAGTAACTCTCACTATCACTCCATTTTTCTTTGCCAGCTTTGATTTCACTGGTGTTACACACGAGATGCCGATTATAAATTAACAATTTGAAATCTAATTATACCAGCAACTTGTAACATTAATATTTGTCTTTATCACTTAGCATATAGCCGATTACAATTTTCCCAAACACGTTGTTAATGGAAACTAAATAATTTAATTACAAACTATAATAGTAATTTTTTGCATACACCGAATAGATTTTTGCAAAAGAGTCAATTTATTGCATTGAAAAGAAGAGATGATATCGAAGAATTGACCATTAAAAATTGAACCAAAAATGGACCATAATTTAAATGCAAACGAAACGAAATAATAAGTAACAATATGCAATGTTTTCTCAATTGTTGTCTCCATTCAAAGAGCAGCTTCATATCTCTTCAAATATTCTTCCATTTTGTTGGAATTCCAACATTACTGCTATGCTGTTCATTGTGTTGTATTAATTAAATGGCTACATTACTTCGGCCTGTCACGAAAAATATGAGTATAAACTCTCTCTCTCTCTTCTTTTTACTCTTTAACATAATTGTGATTGCTTTGAGCAATGTCTCAATAAGCAAGTGTAGCGCGCTACCAAGTCAAAAATTATTTCCGGCGTGACAGTGATAAAAACGAGAGGTTTTTGCCGTTGTCTCCTCGAAATGTCATTTGAAGAGCAAAAAAGGAAAAAAAACGGTCGAACTGAAAATATAAACAAAATAGGATCTCTTTGCATCTCGCCCATTCACTGGTCGCTCTATTAAATATGAACTTGCTTCTATCATTAAAAATGCGCTTTGTGATAATTTTGCAAAGAGGCTTTTGTGTTCGTTTCTTTTTGTCGTCTTCACTCCCCTCCAAAAAAAAAAAAAAAAAAAAAACAGACAAAAAACCTGTTTAAGTATAGAATGACGGAAAAGCGTTGTATCGATATTCCAAATTATGTCGCACATCTTTCACCTGCCATAATAAAGCTGGAGTTTTCCTCTGTGTGTTGTTGTTGGGTTTTTTTTTCGTTCGTCCCCGTTTTGTTTTGTGTTCGCATTCAGCAGCCTTTTGCTTTTAATTCTTCTATCATTAATTTTATCTGGATTTTATTTAGCGGTTCTTCTTCGCGGCATAACCAAATGAAGTGCAATGTACAAAGAATTATCAGCGACGGGTAAAATTCTTAGCGCAAAAGGCGAGGGTAAGACAGAAAATGTGGATGCATGGCAGCAAATGGATCGTCGACTCATCGTGGATGTTTCAATGTTGGACTTTATGTGACTCACTACATTTCAAATAGGAATTCCTCTCCTCCTTGATCGGGATGTGTGAGTGTGTCTGTACAGTTTGTGCATTTTTCACTTTGGATTTCTTACAATTCTTTTAACTCTCTCTCTCTCTTTCGCTCCTTTCCTCTGCATTTCTCTCATTGCCTTTGTTGGTTCCTTCGTTTCGTGAAGTTCTGTGTTTTACATATTTATTCAAAGTTTTTATTCATGATTTTCCTTTAAGCTCATTCATCCTTCTTTCTTTATTTTCTTTTTACTCTCGTCAAGCGACCAAGCGCAAGTTTCTGTTGCATCCTTTTGCATTTTCAGCAACAATTTTTGTGCTGCTTTTCTGTAAATTTTCTCTTCTTTTCTTGTGAATTTTGTTTTTTTTTTATTCGATCGGCACATTTTCTTCCACACTGTGAAGTCCATCCGAACTCTCGTCGTTGTTTGCGCATCTCAGTTGGTGCCTTACATTGTTTGCAGCTTATATTCGGAATACGCGATATAAATGCATTTTGTTATTCATTCCATTCGCGTGCGATTTTTTTCTTTCTGCTTGCGAGCAGCAGCATCAACTCCGGCAAAGATGTTTTCTTTTTCTCAAGATGCATTCGAATTCTCTTCCTTCCTTTTATTCTTGAGATATTTGTGTTGTTATTGCACATCATCCAAATTTCATGCGCACGATATCTTTTGCATATCGTGTGTTCCGGCCAAGAATGGCAAAGATAGGCTACAGGAGAAGGAGAGAGAAAGAGAAAGAAAAAAAACGGTACACGAACGAAACGCCAAAGTTTTGTTTCCTTTCGTTCGTTTAAGTACGTGTCTTCCTTGGCTCCATGCCTTGAACATATCCTTTTGCGTTTTCGACAATTTATACTTTTCAATTTAATTTTATTTCGAGCGCCTCTTTTCTTCTCATCTCATCTCTCTCTCTC